CACACACACACACACACACACACACACACACACACACACACACACACGCTCTCGGCAGGCACATAAGACAATAAGCCCCATCGACCTCAAATCCACAGGCCCAATTTTGAGATATTTAACTTTTTTAACTCTATTGGACTGCCACTTCATTACCATGGATTTTATAGCAAAGACATCAAATTGCGCAGAGGACTAAGCACCAGGGCGCTGCTATAACTTATTGAATTTCCTGCCTGCAATTACATCAGCAAACGGCCCCTCTATTTACCTGTGTAGACAACTCCATTTATTTCTATTGACATGTTGATGCTGCTAATGCCGTTGGTAGACAGGTTCAATGCGGTCTCTTGTCTATCATCTGTCAGGAGAGAAAAACTCAATATGAGCATTTAGAAAGGGAACAGAAAGAGCGGGAGGAGCGCCCGCTGGAGTATTGGTGATAATTCAGAGAGTGACAGGATAAGGAGAGCTTTATTAAAGAGTTCTGGGGAGAAAAGGAACTGTCAGAAGATGTTACAGCCATTTGCACATGTCAGTTAGAGATGAATCCTGCTGGTTGGGAAATAAACAGAAATGTGGAATTGAAAGCCGTCTCTTCGGCACAGATTTGATGCGTCTCAGGAGTGCATCTGGGTGGAGACGAATAACAGTGTTTGGGTTGTAATCTTTAAATGACAGTGTTTGTTACGTGAGGGCCAGAGCCAGACGACCAGCGTGGGAATTAACCCCAGAGAGATTCTCACTCCTTTCTTTTCCATCGCGTATCAAGCGCAAAGCCCGCTTATTATGACTAATGTGATAGAGGCGGTGATGCAGACAGAAATGATATCACACCTGAGCAGATAGGCCCTTATTCTTCCTTAAGCCTCCATCATTAAGTCCTGTGTGACTTATGGCGTTGTCACGGCCAGGGCTCGGCTGGACGGGCTTTTCTTCTTTTTTTTTTACTCATGGCGAGCCGGAGGATCTATTTCTTCATGACTATCTTGTGGGGCTTGAGCCTTCAAATTACACGTGTGATGTGATGAACTGTGTTCGCGTTAGTGGTTGGAGGCGTTGCACAGCAGGATCTCAGACAGCCTCTCTGGGGGGGGGGGGGGTCATTACTGAGGTAGACACACAGTCATTTAAAGTCTCACGGGAAGCAGCGAGCAGCATTACAGTAACGCCCGCTTACTAAATGATACATTCAGATCAGCTCATGCTGAATTTATGTTTCTACAAATATGGTTTCATCTCAGACTCCACTGTTTCATATCTAAATGTAGATACTTGGACTCTAAAGCGAGACCCGTCAACACATGTGGGCACGTGACACGAGCAAAGAAAAGACATTGAAGGAAAATGCATCTGTAGATGTAGTGTTGTGAAGTCAGAAGATGAGAGTGCAACGATGACGAGATAGATTTGAACAAATCCCATGAAAACAGATCAAACCCAACAAGTCTGTCTCTAGATCCTGAACTACTCTGTGACTCTTAGCTGTGAGCCCACCGGCTCCTCCTGTGGACGCAACTCAGAAATATCCTTCCTTTCAAAGTACAGAAGGGCTCAGGACTCTCCTGGAACAGCTGCTCACTGTAGTCTTTAACAAACCTTAGTCCCCAACAAATGCACTACTTCCTCCTGTGGGACTACTTTCAGCAGCGGATTAATACACATTTGGCACTATTGGCATCCATCCATCTATCTATCCCTCCATATATCCCTCTCCATCCATCCATCCATCTAGCTATCCCTCCCTCTCCATCCATCCATCCATCTATCCCTCCATATATCCCTCTCCATCCATCCATCTATCTATCCATCCCCCTCTCTCGATCTCTCTCTATCATTCTATCTCTCTATCCAAGTTAGATACGTTCATTGTTGGTTTTGGTCTTTTCATGACATTTGTTGCCAATAATCAAAATATTGAATCTCTTGACGGTGTAGAAATAAACATTGTGTTGCACATAAATTATCTAACGTATAAGAAAGGGAACACAGCTGATACAGTAGCATAGCATAGCATAGAGAAAAGTATTTTTGCCCATTTAGCTACATGCAGAGGAACCAATAGACAGAACACATGCTACATGCTACATTAGCATACTGAGCTTCAAACCTGAATATTCTGCTTCAGTTGTTTCATTTTCTTCAGCCTCTGATTTAATGTCGGCTATTTAAAGCTTAGCCAGAGCTGTGCACACTCAAAGGTAGCTCTAAGTTAACATTCTACAGTTACACACAAGTCACATTTCATGGGATCTAAATGAAGTGAAGAGATGGTCCAGACTTCCTGTGACTTCCTCCAGAGGGCTTTCTCCACAGAGCTCGGTGTACTCTAGCCCCCTGTGAGCGTCTCACCTCTGTTGTTGAGTTTGATGTTGAGGGGCAGCTGGGTGGCCATCGCCAGCAGGTTCTGCTGCAGGGCATGCTGCATGATCCTCTGCTGCTCCTCCGCCACCGTCATCATCTTCTTCTCCGGCGGTTCGCCGCTCTCCAGCTTCTCTCGGAGCTGTTCCAGGGCCGCCGCCTGGGCAGCCACGTGGTGGCCGCTGGGCGACATGGAGAGGGCCCCCCGGCTGGGCAGGCAGCTGCCCAAGAGGGTCTCTTCTGGGGAGAAAAAGACTATTAAGGAGGCGATATCTGTCTCTAAACATGTCTGCATGCTGTCAGAAGTAGGTTGTGTGTGACAGTCTGAGAATATAGATAATACTTATCAGTAAGCTTTCACATTCACTATGTTGTCTTTGCTCTCATTGAAATGCACTCGTTTCTGTGAATATGTCAAATCGACGTCTCTATCATCATAATGCATGTCTCAGACATTTTCATTCATTTCATTCTCATGAGTTTTCAAAGGCTAACTTTTATTTTTAAAACACAGTTGCTGGGACGAGCATCTCATAACGAACACTCTCTTCCTTTGTTCAGCGTTCCATATTAGTGTTGCAATCACATAAAAGGACCATTATTTATCATCAAGTTGATCATTTTTGCTAATTGAATGAAATGTTACGAACATTCTTTTCTCTGGGCATGTTATACGTATATACATACACATATATACATACATACACATATATACATATATACATATATATATATATATATACATATATATATATACATATA